ACCCTGCACCCTAAACCCTAAAACCTGAAACCCTGAACCCTAAAACCTGAAACCCTAGACTGCACAGGATGAGCTAGATTGGAGGGCTGTGAACCGAGCATGACTTGCCGAGTTCTTGCAGACACCAGGGGTTTAGGGGTTTAGGGGTTGAAGGGATTAGGGTTTTAGGGTTTAGGGTTTAGGCTTTGGGTTTTTGGGGTTGAGGGGTTATATAGTCCGGGATGCTGCAGAATCAATCAAAGATCCAAAGCATTGTGCTTCGGGCCGTAAACCCTAAACCCTAAACCCTAAACCCTAAACGTTAAAGCATGGTTAACCCAACCCCAAGGGTTAGAGATCCGACGCAGGCGCGGCCACAGCAAAAGAAAGCGAGTATTATTCGAAGTATTCTTCTTGCTGTTGTGAGCAACCCTAATGATCTTTCTTAATTTTTGTCGATTACTAGTGTTATTATTATTATTACCATTAATAATATTATTACTATTATTATTATTACTATGATTATTATTACTAATATTATTACTAATGTTTTTGTTACTATCAAGAATACGATTTATCATTGTCAACTCGAGTCCCTCGGCCTGGATCGATGGCGGAGGATCCTGTGCTTCTTGCGCTCGGAAAAGCACCGAGGCTTCGCGCTCTTCGGGTCTTGGGGCTTTGGGGCTTTAGGGTTTAGGTTTAGGGTTTAGGGTTTAGGGTTTAGGGTTTAGGGTTTAGGTTTAGGGCTTATAGGGTTTGGGGTTTGGGGTTTTGGGGTTTGGGGTTTGCTTTTCGCCGGAAAGACCTACCTTTTGGGGTTCCTTATTATGGTTTCTCTGTACAGTTCCTCAAAAAGGTGGGGTTTGGGGATAAGGGTTTTGGGGTTAGGGTTTGGGTTTAGGGTTTCGGGTTTCGGGTTCACGGCCTCAACATTTAAGGCTACGGGTTTGGGGCTTAGGGCTTCTCTGGTTCAGGGCTTTGGGTTTATCTCTGGTTCGGGTCTGCGGGCTAAGGCTCATGGTTTAGCGCTTTGAGGCTTGAAGGTTTAGCATCCCAAAGGCTCCCTGTCGCAGTCATGCCGTATGCCAAATGCGGCTTCGGGATTCGGGTGGAGACTGCCGGGACGAACCGCGTTCCTTCAGAGCACACCTGCTCTGACAAATCTCTGCGGCGGGCGCATGAAGTCGCGCGCTTGACATGAGGGACAGAGATTCTAACCTCTTCCAAATCCCCGACACTTCTGTCGCACCCTGCAGCCATGGAGCAAGACGTCAGTTCCACTACGACATGCTACTGGCTACTGCCACATACCCACCGCATACCAGAGACCTAGATCGTGCCCAGTGGCGTCAGAAAGGGTCAACAACGATGCACGCTCCCCAGGATCCGACGCCGGCTCTTGCAACTCCTGCCAGGCATTGAGGGGTTTTCGATTCCCCAAGGCTCCAAGTATACAAATAGTACCTACTTTGAGGTCTAAAGTCTGTAAATCTTACCTACTTTGGGCTATTTGGAAGTAAATAGTACCTACTTTGAGGTCTAAAGTCTGTAAATCTTACCTACTTTGGGCTATTTGGAGGTTCAGGGATTGTCTTCGTCTAGAGCCCAAGAGCCACGACTAGGTGCGGCATTGAATTATGCCGACCCAAAGGTCACCAAAGGGTTCACGCAACTTTGCATCTTCATCTCCCTTCAAAGTAGAACCAAACCTGGTTGGCAATGTAGGGCTTATAGCTGCTACTGTAAAGTTATGGGGAACAAGGAACCCTAAATCCTAAACCCTAAACCCTAAACCCCTAAACCCTAAACCCTAAACCCTAAACCGGATGTGGGGACTTGGGCTTCAGGAATTCAGCTCCCCATGCCACCAGTTTGACCATGCATAAACTGAGAACCTTCTCTTCGGTACACAAACAACAGGAACTCGCCACACCGAATCGTAGGTTCAGGGTTCAGGGTACTATGGTTTAGGGTTTAGGGTTTAGGGCTCAGGGTCCTATACTTGGTAGACCCTAAACCCTAAACCCTAAACTCCGTCTTCGCCCATTGGCCTAGCTGGATCACGGCTTCAACGGGAGGTGAAGTGATCTCCGACTAAATCAGAAAAGAAGGACCTATGAGGCCAATGCAAACACCGCATCAAAGCATGCTTTAGGGTTTAGGGTATTAGGGTTTAGGGTTTAGGGTGCCTGCGTCGTCAACTCAGAAGTTTGTTTTGGCTTCTTTGTCTACATGCTGTCGGCTTCGGCACTGCTGAACAAAGTTTCGCACCAAGGCGCCTCATCCATAGCGGCCAGATGGCGAAGATCGCTGCAGGCTTCTGTGGGAGAAAGAGAAGGATCCTCTACGAGATCCATGAGATAGAAAGGCTGCAGCAGGCCACGCAACACAGGCAATTTCATCGACATGCCGACCAGTGAATGAAAAGAACAACAAGCGCTCGTGTGCGGGCCTGACCAGCAGGAGCCCCATAGAACCCTTTAAGGATCCCTTTAAAACACCCCTATTCTAATTATTCAGGCCCCTATATTAGACCCCAGACCCCTTCCTAAACCCTAAACCCTAAACCCCTAAACCCCTAAACCCTAAACCCTAAACCCCAAACCCTAAACCAATGTGAAGCCCTCCTCGGCGCCGGATTTTCTGCGCTCCCTCCGACGCGCTCCGGCTCAGGCCCCCTCCCTGCTTTGGGCCAGCACCGGCGCCGGTCCTGGCGGAAGTCTGGGGTTCTGGGATAGGGTTTAGGGTTTAGGGGTTAGGGGTTCTGGGATCAGGATGGTCCGGAGAAAAACAAGCTGAGGGGAAGGGCTTATTTTGGGGTTTAGGGTCCGTTTAGGTCCGGAGAAAAAAAGCTGGGGGCGAGGGCTTAGTTTCGGGTTTCAGGGTGTAGGGTGTAGGGTGTACGGCCGTTTAGGGTTTAGGAGGGGGAGGGCTTATGGACTGGAACAGGCAGGCAGCAGTGTCTGCAAGGCCACAACCTTTTCTGCGATGATGCGCAAAGTCAAGTGCATAGTCTCGCAAGCACAGCTCCACCCTTCACGCATCTTGTGGTGCCAATTCCCCAAACCCCAAACCCTAAACCCTAAACCCTAAACCCTATAAACCCTAAACAGGAGCTCATGGCACCATCACAGCAAACTCATCGAAGCAGCTCTCCGCCATGGGGACCTTACCCGGTGCTTCCATCAGAGCAGCCTCCGTGGTGGCCAGCACCGCGGGCCTCAGATCCGGGCAGCCCTCCAACTCCCAGGAAGTACGCCAGGAGGAGTTCTCGAAGTTCTCCTGCCATAAAAGCCCTGAAACCCTGAGCTACTACCCCACATGCTCAATCCTACCTATAGTCTCCATTGTAGTTCCTTTTTGGGGATACATGGAACCCTGACCCTAGGCTTCCAAGGACCTTAAAGCTAGGGCCCTAGACCCCTTAAGGACCCAATAATAAGGTCTCTGGAAGCCTAGGGTGAAACCCTGAGCTACTACGAGTGCCCCAGATCCTCAATCCTACACTCTCCTACGCATCCCGCCCAAAACCCTAAACCCTAAACCCTAGACCCTAAACCCTATAAGCTCTCCTGCCATGGCTGTAGGAAGATTCGGCCGCTGGAGTCCCGGATCAGCTCCCCACACAAGATCACCTGGGTAGTTGTCATAATTTTGGTCCCTTTTGGGGTACCCTAAATAATAGGTGCCGTATTATAACAAGGACCCAAAAAGTGACCATAATCCCTAAACCCTAAACCCTACACCCTAAACCCTAAAGGACCCAAAAAAGGACCATAATTTTGACAACCACCCACCTCGGAGCCCACCTGCAGAAGATCCTCTCGGAACCGGAAGAGCTCCTTAGCTGCCCAGTACCCTGGGCCTAAACAGTTTAAACCAGTGTTTTAGTAGGGGTTTAATATACCAAAAAAGTGGCCCAAAACAGTTTATAAACTTTTCTTTTGGTAGGGTTTTAATATACCACAAAAGTCCTAAACCCTAAACCCCGAAAACCCTAAACCCTAAACCCTGTAAAGTGTACCTATTGGGCTCCTGAGGCTCTCTCTCGGCCGAGGGCGAAGTGGCGGCGGGAGGGGGGGGAAGGGGAAGGAAGGAGACTTTGGGCTCGGGCAGAGGGGAGACGAAGTGCTTCCAGTGCTTGGGCAAGTCCTTGAAGGCCTTACTTCCCCCAAGAAGCCAGGGAAAAAAAAGGGTAAACCGACAGATTACTACTAATTTTATAAGAATTCACAAAAAAATTAAAGGTTTGATAATGGGGAACTAAGAGGCTTGGTAGGGCGTGAAAAGCTCCTGATCGCTTTGGGCCAGAGGCGAGGTTTCTAGGAGCTTCACCTCGTGGCCCAAGACATCGATGCGGATCCATGGGGCGGAAACCAAGGAGACCTGGAAGTCCACGGCCTCCTGGGACTTCTTAGGCAGAGCACCTTCGGCCACCGCCCTGAAGAGAACGCAGCTGCGTTGGCTGAGGGGTGCTCTGAGAAGTCCCAGTGGCGGAGGGCCCCCTGGTAGAGCGCCCTCAATGCGGCAGAGCATCTTCACGGCACAGCCGCTGCTCACGGGCTTGGACAAAGCACAGTCGTAGCCCGCCGCAGAGGGCAACACCTGCTCCAGGTTCTCCTCCTTGCACACCACCGCCTCCAAGATCAGCTGCCGGAGCCGGTCCTGGAGCCCTGCCTCTGCCTGCCGGGAGGAGGGGCCGGTTTGGGCTTTCGCCTCCTTTTCGAGGCGGCCCGCTTGGTCGGAAGGAAGCGACGGCTGCTTGGGAGGCCCTTCCTCCAGCTCCGGGACCTTCGGTGCCTGCGCCTCGCATGCAACGAGGTCCTGCGAAAGTGCCTCCGGCAGCCACTGAGGCACCTGCGGATCTAACTTCCAGAGCCAAGGGCCCCAGTAGAGCACTGCTGCCAAAGAGGCAACACTCACAACCACGAGAAGGGCGATGCAGAGGGAGAAGCCGGTGATGCCTTTCGCTGGGTGGCCGGCCAGGCCGCTCTTAAGAGCTTCTGTGGCTTCAGATGCGAAGCCGCCCACGGAGGGCGCTGCCTGTGCTGCAGCATACAGCTCCACGCCATCCTCCTGCCACTGCCTCAGAAGCTCCTGCGATCGATCCATATGCACCTCCCCCACCTTCTGAGAGCTCCTCTCTCCCACCTCCTCGGCGGTGCTGCTGCTATGCACCTCGCCCACGGCGGCCTCTGAGGTCTCCTCCTGCAGCTCCAGGAAGGAAAGCGGCGCGGAGATCCGGGGAAGCTCCGCTTTCTCCGTTTTCAACTCCGACCACCGAAGGGCTGCACCTGAAGAGGCAGGGCCTTCACTTACCATAGTAGGGATCCATAGTAGTCAGATGGCCAGTTCTCTAAATTAGAGTCCCCTTCCAGAATAGTTTTCATAAGGGCGCCGTACTAGTTCTTGGGACCCGAAAAGGGAATTACGGAACTTCTCAATATGGCTTCCTTCTTATATGGTAACATAATGGAGATGCATTTCCTTCTTATGGTAGGCCTTAATTTACCGGAACAAGGATCTACAATGATCATGTGTGCATAAATAAATAAATAAATAAACAAATATATATATATATATAAGTATATATGTATATATGTATAGAAGGTCTCCTCACTATGGTAGCCCGAGTGAAGCTCCGTATCAAGAGCCCGGGAGAGAACACCCTCCTCTCCTCAAGGACAGCGAAGCCCCGAACCATCAGTCGGCTTTAGGGTTTAGGGTTTAGGGTTTAGGTAGTCGATCGGCGCAGACGGCCCGTTTTGCACGCTAAACTCCTGACCACCAAACCCTAAACCCTGACCCTATTCCCCAATCTCTAAATCAATCCCCAAGCCCTGAACCCCTAAGCACCCTAAACCCCCAAAACCTTATGGTAGCCTTATAGCACTGTGACTCTTCAAGGAAGCTTTACCGGAATCCCGAAATCCCCCAAAAAATCCCCTAAACCCCCACCCTTAGAGGGAACCCTTACAAGAGCCACAAAGTTCCCTTTTTAGGTGCCTTGATAATTAGAATAGGATATTGGGGCCCATGATACTATAACTATAATAAGGAGCCCCCAAAATAGTATAGGTAACTAATTCGGCCCCTATATTAAATCCCCCCCGGCCTGTCTGGAGGAAGGCCGATGCTTGGCAGCTGGGCCCCTCGTTCAGCAGACTGCAGTCCTCTGCGCTCTTTGTCTAGGGCTTAGGATTTAGAACTGAAGCTGTCAGAAAGATAGATCTACATATACATAGACATATACAGCTACAGTTACATACCTATTCATATATATATATATGTATGTAGAAATAGTGGGGCTAAAGGGAAATATTGGCCAACTTGAAGCTACCATAATATCTATTGGGATTTAGGGTTTAGGGTTTAGAACTGAAGCTATCAGACAGATTAATAGACCTACATATGCATTTACAGCTACAGATACATACATATATATATATATATATATATATGTATATGTAGAAGGAGTGGGGCTAAAGGAACATATTGGCTAACTTGAAACTACCATAATATCTAGTGGGGTTTAGGGTTTAGGGTTCATGCAAGGTTTAGACAGGTTTAGACAAAGACCGGTCCTCGCTGTCGATTTCCTGGCCCAGAGCCTCCAACAAAGAGTCCTCCTCGGTGACCCGGAGTAGGCTTCTTCGGGGTTTAGGGTTTATGGTTTAGGGTTTAGGGTTTAGGGTTTAGCTACCCCGAACACATTCAAGCACATGCACTTATTTGTAGCATGCATGGCTTGTTAGCCTGGTTTCAATTCTCCCTGCAAAATCAAAAGAGAAATGGAGCGGCTGAGTATCTAGGTCGGTTCCTTTTTCTGCGATGATAGGGGCCAGCAGGGCGACGATGATGCCCTGAAAGAAGCCCATGCGGAACATGGCTACGCCGTGTTGGTTTCCACGGCCAGCCGTAAAGCTTATGGCTAAAGCATAGTAATCGGGTTCGTGACTTGATCCGAACCACTTCGGCGGTCGACAGCTGCGCGGTGCATGAAGCCAAGCCCCCTTCCAGAGCCAGTCGCCAAAGTAGCATCAGAACCACGAAGCCTCTCACATGACACCTTTCCCTGCAGCAAGACCCCAAGCCCTAAACTCCTAAATCCTAAAACCCTAAACCCTAAACCCTAAACCCTAAACCCTAAATCCTAAATCCTAAAACCCTAAACCTTAAACCCTAATAAACTCGCAACAACGGCTGGCTGGTGCTGGGTGCCTCTGCGCGGTGCTGGGGCGATGCCCGCCGGGCTTCAGTTCGCCTGAGTCAGCCAGCCAAACCCTCCCTCAGTGCTTACATGTGGGTAGTTTTCTAAATTAGGGTCCCTTTTTAGGGTCTAGGGGGGTTTAGGGTTTAGGGTTTGTGGTTTGGGTAGTTTTCTAAATTAGGGTCCCTTTTTTGGGTCCCTTTTTATAAGGGTGCCGTACTATATTGGGGACCTAAGATGGGACCCTACTTCAGAGAACTACCCATATGCTGGAGGAGCACGTAAAAACTACGACCACCTGCACTTCTCATGCCACCATGACTGCATGTATGACCAGTACTCCTGTACGCACTTCCTGTGCATTCCTTCGCGTCGGTAGGACTACGTACTGGTCGTACTGCAGGCCGCAACCCCCATCTTGCTTCGTCACCGTCAGATCATGGCCGGCAAGATACTGCAATCGCAAACACAAGAGTCATGATGCAACTATGCCTCATACCAGTAACAGATTGATACTGACAAAATCGAAACAATTCCTCTGCTTACCAGTGTTACTAGTGTTGCTTGCTGTTGTTTCCAGTATTCCTATTATCAATACTTCTACTAGTCCTACTAATATTACTCTTTTGACTATTACTACTATTGCGACTATTATAACTATGGTTACAATGATTTCAACGATAATATTTGTATTGCGGTTCCAATTATTCATATCATTGTTGTTGCCATTATTATCACTAATAGGAGCAGCAATATTGTTATTGCTACACTTCTCAGTCTTCCTATTACCATTATTACGAATATTACCATAACAACTAGTATTACATTTTTTACAATTATTGCTACTGTTGCTCTTGTTACCAATTCTACTATGATTTCTATGATCACTATTCTTACGATTATTGCTTTCATGACTTTTATTACTACGAATACTATTTATTAACCCTATTATTACTATTGTTACTACTACTGTTCTTACTATGATTACTACTATTATTACCATTTTTACTACTGTTGCTATGATTACTCCGATTGCTCATCGCAAATAATAACTGCTGTTTCTGCAATTACTATGACTACTACTACGGTTGATGATATGAATCCTGCACTGCGTTTAAGGACCCTAAACTGAGGAATATGGCATATTTCTTATTCTGGGTAATGCAGGGTTTATATCATCAACCGAATTTGGGGGTCTCTTATTCTTATAAAAGCAGAAAATACTCTAAAACCCTACTTTAATTATTACGGCTCCTATTCTCTAGGGCATAGGGCAGGAAGCATGCAAGCCAAACCCTAATCCCTAATCCCCAAACCCTAAACCCTAAATAAACCCCGAACCCTCCCACAGCTCTCCCGCGGGGGAGGGACTCTTCGCACTCGGCAAGCCGCGAAGGTGAGATCCGACCTGGTACTGGGGAAGTTGGATATAGGGCTGTAGGGTTATAGGGTTTTTGGGATTGAGGGTTTAGGCTTGAGGGTTTAGGGTTTGGGATTGAGGGTTTAGGGTTGAGGGTTTAGGGTGTAGGGTTGAGGGTTTAGGGTTATAGGGTTTAGGGTGTAGGGTTGAGGGTTTAGGTGTAGGGTTGAGGGTTTAGGGTTATAGGGTTGAGGGTTTGGGATATAGGGTTATAGGGTTGAGGGTGTAGGTTGAGGGTTTAGGGTGTAGGGAGGGTTGAGGGTTTAGGGTGTAGGGTTTAGGGTGTAGGGTTGAGGGTTTAGGGTTATAGGGTTGAGGGTTTAGGGTTGAGGGTTTAGGGTTATAGGGTTGAGGGTTTAGGGTGTAGGGTTGAGGGTGTAGGGTTGAGGGTTTAGGGCTTAGGGTTGAGGGTTAAGGGTTTTAGGGTTTAGGAATGAGCAGCAGCATGCAGGCCTCCAGGGTTTACCTATAGTCTCTGTTGTAAGTCCTTCCTGGGGCTA